TCACTCACACACACACACACACACGGTCATTCAGCTCTCCTGATATCAGTACACAAGCTCTTCACTCTTCTGGGAAACAGCTCTCAATATTCACATGCCATCGATAAGAAACACGACAACCGGCTGATTTTCTGTCTCCCTCATATTATTCTTCCATTCAGATGTTCTTCCATCATGCATTTTTATCCTCTACTTGTTTATTTATAAATAAAATAAAATGCATTATAACAAGCTTATAGGATAATATAAATCTTTTTAAATATATTTAATATAAATTCAGCTTTGATTAAAATATGGAAAAAAGAAATCCATTTTATGATTTTCTGTAATCTGAAAAGGGTCAAAAATCAATAAATGTATCTTTCGTTTAAGTTTTTTTTTTTGCCAATAAAATTCATGATAAAAAAATGACATATTATTTGTTTACACCTTTGTAACTTTTATTACCAGAGCACAACTATAAGGACTGCCCGATGGTCCAGGATCAGTGTGAAAGATAATTGGGACAGTTGATGGATTCAAGTGATTTTAAAGCATTCAAGTGCAAGAAGACGTGAAAGACAACTATTCAGTGTGTTCTGTGCGCACAGAGCATACACAGAGCTGTGTCTCAGGCAATGTCTTCATGCGCTTGAATGGACAAAAACATACAAAATATGTATGACAAAAAAGCATTTTATTTTTCAGGATTCACAGATGAACAGAAAGTTCAAAAGAGCAGCATTTATTCTGAATCATCTGAAACAGAAATCTACTGGAACAGTATAAATGTCTTTACTGTCACTTTTGGTCAGTTTAATGCGTCCGTGACGAATTTATGTTATAATTGCCTCTTTGACATATTTGAGATGAGCTGCATTAGTATCCTGCACACAAAGCTACTCACCGACACACACACCAGCGCTGACCTCTGACCCCTCAATGCAAACACTAATATATACAGCAGGAGGGATTCGCTCTCTCTGTCCGAGTGTGAGACCAACATTCAACCGCTTCACTTCAACAGCACAGAGTGTGTGTCAGAAACATGTCTAGATA